TGCCGCACCGAACTGCGGATAGTCTCCTCCTTTGAGGTTTAGGAACTGGAAATCGATTAGAACTCTGAAAGAGGTTGCAGAGTACCTGCCAGCAGGACAAGCAAGGAGAGCTCAAAGTCCGGGAACACTTTTGAGTTGACTCAAAGGTCACCGACATTTAGGAACTGGAAATCGATTAGAACTCTGAAGGAGGTTGCAGAGTACCTGCCAGCAGGACAAGGAGAGCTCATAGTTAGACAACACTGCCATGGGTCATCATGATCCTCTACGTGTACTGCCATGGCGCATCATGCTCCTTCAGGTGTACTGCCATTTCCATGGTATATCATGTTTCTTCAGGTGCACTGCCATGCCATGGCATATCATGCTCCTTCAGGTGCACTACGGTACCATGGCTCCCTCAGAGTGCAGTGTACCATTGGCGCCATTGCACCATAGACTCCTCCCTCTCCACTGCTAACTCCTTACCAATACCCTCAAGAGCACACTACGGTTGTTTGCGGAAGCCTAAACAAATAGGGGTTGGGATTCAACTAGCACGGCATGCAAAATTCACTGTAACTCCATAAGAGCAGTGCCAGCACTACTAGTGGAACACGCGAACAAGGGGCAGGAGCATACCTCACTGCCTTCAGCACGATTTTCCCTGAAGCTCCTGCGTCGCCGACTACTTTCCCGTTGCGCTTGGTAGGACTCAGCTTGGCCACGTATTTCACTATAAACGGGGATCACGGACGGGATAGGGGAGACGGGAAGTCAATGACTAGCTGAAGATTTCTGGGCTGAATTTTTAACGGAAATGTGAAGGATCAGGAAGCCTGGGAAATGAATGACTCTGTAATTTGTTCATGGATGGCTGTTACGCAAGAACAAGCATGACTTGACATGATGTCACACCAGCTGTAGCACACACCATCTGTAGCACACACCATCTGTAGCACACACCGGCTGTAGCACACACCATCTGTAGCACACACCGGCTGTAGCACACACCAGCTGTAGCACACACCAGTTGAAGCACACACCATGGCATACACCGGCTGTAGCACACACCAGCTGATGCACACAATGGCTGTAACACAACCCAGCTGATGCACACATTGACTGTAGCACACACCGGCTGTAGCGCACACCGACCGTAGCACGCAACGCACATCAGCTGCAGCACACAATTCTGCTGCAGCACACACATCAGAAATTGATGAGCGCAGTTGCACGAACGTGGAAACATTTCAGCAATTACTGCTACCAGTGTTTTCACCGCGCGCGGATTACACAGTCACCGCGTTTCTGCAGTGCCTGATAACGGTGCTGTCAAACACGCGTTTGCCAAATCGTCCGCCATTACTAGTACTGACGGCTAATGTACTTACCCATTGTCTTTCCCTTCCAAACTAGGGGCTTGGTCGCCTGAGCGGCTGAAGCGGCAGAAGACCCGCCGTCTTGAGAGAGTAGCGGGGCGAATGATGTGGCAGACGCTGCGCCGTAGGCAGTGCAGACAGTCGCACCTGCAGGCAGCACCGTGCTGATTTGAGAGTTAGTACATGACAAAACTACCTCGAGGTTACTATCCGTCCGGGATCGTGAACAGTTGCAGTCAATGTCTCACGCAGCGGCTTTTTTACGTCTCAAAAAAACGAAAACTGTAAGAAGTCGCAGTCAATGACGTTTTTTCATCAGAAACAGAGGAGGCAGTACCAGGCCGCAGCAGCGCGCTCTGAATCCGCAGGGCTTACAGAGCAGCAGAAAGAGACCCCTCACGAATGGAGCTGCAGGGCTTACAGAGCAGCAGACGGCAGAGGAGAGATAATACGTGGCAATCCATGCTGATCGCAATGCTTCGTCGGATGGCTTGGCAGTAGTAGTAGTAGTACCAACAGAATAAGGTCGTTGGTGGTTTGGCAAATACTAGCCAAATGTGTGAATAGCTAATCAGCCATGAAGAGAGGTGAGGTGGTTAGCTTGTAAGTACCCCTTTGCCGACATTGAGCGGTTTTTTCTTCGTCATAGCTTTCCACCAATAAAACACCACCGCTTTCCGTCCCCTTTCGCCACGATAACCGCGACGGTCGCTCACGTTTTCCAGCATGCGGCTGATATTCGTCGCACGTCGCGCGACGACTTTGCGGGTCGATAGTCGCCGACCTTCGCTCGTCAGCTGTCGTTCACCGCTCGTCCTCCCGTCACGCGCCGCGCGCCGCACGTCGTTCGTCGCTCGTCGCTTGCCGTCGCTCGACTTTGTCGCCATCGCTCGTGTTGCAAACTTTAGTCTTCATTCCCAAACAGCGAATTTGGTACACAGCCGCCCTGTGTCTGTCGAACGAGGCGCGCGGCGAGGGGGAAACGTCTGCTGTACGAAAAAGAATGTTCTTGATCAGCTCAACAGTGAGACGTACTAGGCAGGGAGGTTGGAGCCTTAGTACGCTTCACTGTTGAGTATGCTTGGGTAACGGGTGTAAGATGCTCTCTGGGATATCTGGGATATACAATATGATTCCAACAATTTCACACTACAATCTCTATGATAAGCGTCGCTGTCTTCTCTTTGACGTGCTCACTGTGTTACGGAGACCCTTAGATGCATATTTCATCCCCACTTCTGCGTGCTTAATATGTGATGATTTTATACAGGGTACCATCCATGCCCAAAATTGTATATAATCATACTGACAAGTGTGCATTGCTTTCAAAAAACATGATTTCCCCATATTCAGTTAGGTTATGCGATTTGAATATACATCATGAAGATTATCCAGAATAATCAGCATACAAACATCACCACTTCGACTACCATGACACATTTGTAAGTTCAACACGTCAATGTCAATAGCTGGAATTATAACACTATAACGACACTTCACTATAACGATGTTTTGGGCCTCGATATCCCTACCAGAAATATCGGTCCCTCGTGGCATCTGTGCTGCCCTCCCAGTCAGCGCCGTGATTCCTGCCATAGATTTGTGCCAGACCAAGCGAGGTAGTGACGTGGCAAAGATCACACCAAATCTGCCAGTCTAGATGTCGCTGCCCCGAAATCAGCTCGGCTGACCTCAATTACACATGAACCACCTTTTCTAAAGCTGTCAATCCCTTTCTCTCCCACAAATCTCTCTTTTCACATCTGCTACCTCAACCATTCCTTTTAGGGCGTATCCATGTTCGGGTCTGGCTACTGTTCTGGCTGCCGAGCCGCGCGCGGCCCCAGCTTTGGGTCAATGTGCAGGTGTTGGGCGACTGACGTGCACGACCCACCCCCAACCAATCATCTGGCTGCACGATTCTGTATTTACTGCCATTTTTTGGCGGTCGTCAGTCGAGTGTCACAAGTGGGCAATGTCCCACGTCTTACACCTCAGCACCCAACCACTCAGCAAATTGACCCCAGTGAAAATGAGTTTGTCTAAAATTTCCCGCGTCGTGCTCCCAGCATTTGGGGATTTACGCCTGGAATTTTTACGATTGTGTTTTTTCGGTGGGTTTCGCGTGGTTTCGCGTGGATCTTACGAACTGTCCTGGCATCCCTTCATTGGATGCGACAGTTGTGGGGAGAGTGATTTTGGCGCGAAAACCCTCGCGGCTCTTTGGGGGCCGCAGGAGTTCGGATGACCCAAAGTGGCGTTTTATGTTGTTTGGGTCATCCGCAAATTGCGGATGCCCGGAACAGTGCCCATGACCCGAACATGGATACGCCCTTACACCACCCCAAATCTGTGGCAGAAATTCCTTACCGATGTTGAATCTAGATTCTAACGTTTTCAGTTTATGGCATAGAGTCTCCTCTCGGCATCAAGCCTGCCGGTGGATGTCTGTCGGGACTTGCAATCAGCTGCTTAGACCCACGTGAAGGTCTTTTGACAGCAATTAAGAGGAGCCACACGCTGACTCACTCTAGACTGCAAAAAATCTTCCACATCCAGATCCTAGGTTGCTGCCGATATCATATGCTTGCGAGTTTACAAGAGGCTAGAAACCTCCGCTCGAGCGCATCCGGGATGGCTGACGATCCTCCCTCCACCAAGAAGCCTGGTATTTTTGGGCGGCGAACAAGCATGGTGGTGGGTTTGCGCAATACTGTACGCACTGTTGGCGACTACGGAAGTTGGATTGGATGATGACTCAGCTGAGACATGGCGGAGTAGTGCCAGCTCGTTATGGGGAAGGGGACTCGCTTTCCTCCCCCAACTCACCCGCTATGGGAAGAGAAGATCTTTTCTCTCACTCACGCGTCAGACGGGGCAGGAGAAGCTCTTCACACTCCCTTCTCACAGATGACGGGAGAATCCGGAATACGCTAGATTGCGTCACCTGCTCTCGGCTAGATCTTCCCCGTCTCAGCCGATCGGACGAGATAGCGGCATCCGATGTTATAATGACTTACATCGCTATTATACGTGTCCCAACCACACTCACCATCGCGACGGAACGGAAGTGACCTCGCATCTCCGCCTCTCTCCTCGTCTCTCGTCTCTCCCAATGGATATCTCCTTCGGGATTTCTCCCCCCACCGATATCTCCACTGGATATCACCCCCTCCTCCGCGAGTCCCCCAGAGAATTTTCAGACCCCAGGCGGAGTCCCCGTTCCGCCGCTCTGCCGCCTGGCCGCGTCCCCCCCGCAGCTGCTTGCACGCTCTGCCACGCAGTATTCCTGCATTTCGGTCCTTCTGCTCACACGGACGGTCACCTGCAGCAATGGCCCGTTGCTGCTTCCTCAGGCGTTCCCCCCTTCCTCCTCCGCGGCAGAATCTGGGCCACGTCACATAAGCACGATAAGCGCGTGACATGGTTGCTGCGCAAGGCAGTTCTTCGATGATTTAGACTCCTGCCGCCTGAACCGGACAGGTAGTAATCGCAGTAGTCAGTGTGAAGGCTTCGAGTGATTCTCCCGCGAAAGCCGGGTTGTACTCTGCGTTACCGTTGGTCTGAAGTCTGGAAATTTGCGGAGCGATCGGCTTCATTCCCCCGCGTTCGCCGTTTCTTCGTTTTCCGCACGAAAACATGAGCCCAAGACCATCTTTATCTAAGGACCGCAGCCCGGAACCTCCGCGGTCGGCGGGAGTTGCGCCGACCTTCCCCCTGAAGCCCAGGAGCCCCGCGCGGGGGGGGAAGGAGCCCAAGAAACGCAACGAGCGCGCGGGGAAGGGCTTCAAGGGCGGCCCGCAGAACGCGCTGTTCATGTTCCGCGGGGTTCGGCAGCGCAGCTGGGGGAAGTGGGTGGCGGAGATCCGCGAGCCGCGCAGCAAGCGCCGCCTGTGGCTGGGGTCGTTTCCGCGCGCGGCGGACGCCGCAATGGCGTATGACGTGGCAGCAAGGCGACTGTACGGCTCTGGCGCGAAGCTCAACTTTCATCAGGCCGCAGCAAATGATGCAACTGTCGGTAGCGGCGGTGTCGCTTGCAGCAGCGGCAGCGGCAGCGGCAGCGGCGGTGGTGGCGGCGGCGGCGGCCGTGGCGACCGTGCCAGTAGTCTTGAGGTAGTGGTTGGTTCTGACGCTGACGTTGACGTTGACGTAGACGTAGACGTTGGCAGTGATTGCAAGTCAGGCGAAAGCTGCGAGGCGACTGAGGTTACCACGAGTGGCGGGGAAGGAGCGACCGAGTCAATGGAGTGTGAAAACGACAACAGCAAAAACGATGACCCGAACATACACGGGTCTAGGGTTAACTTATACGAAGGCCTCCAAGCAAAATCGCCTCAAATCTGCTCTGTTCTACCAGTTGATGCTGCTCCTGCCTCTGACCCTTCCAATGCACCTTCCTCTGGTGTTAACCGTGCTGCTGCTGCCGCCGCCGCCGCCGCAGCCTCTGGTTTTAACCGTGCTGGTGCTGGTGCTGTGCAACCTTCGATTGATGCTGCTACTCTCGCATCAATGCTAGACAGCTCACTGCTAACATCCCCATGGCTTCCAAATATGGCACCGACTGCTGGGACGACACACGACATGACACGTGTATCTCACACCTCCTCCCCATGGCTTAACACACACATGGCCCCGATTTTCGAGACGACTCGAAACTCGTTCCTATGGCCGCCGCACGTGGCATCACCAACAGTACCATCATCTACACCACCATACAGTTCACCATCTATACCTTCATCTACAACACCATGCATAACAACATCTATACCATCATCCATACCATCATGCTCACCATCATCCATACCATCATCCATACCATCATCCATACCATCATCCATACCATTAACCGTGTCACACATGTGGACAGGCACACCATCCCAAATGGCATCCACAATTCTTGAACCCAATCCTGCTTCTCTTCTTGCGTCTCATCGCAGCACCCTTTCAATGCCTCGCCCCAGTCCTCCTCCTATCCATGGTTCTGTCAGCACCCCCCTCTCATTCCCACCACCTTCCCGCTTCACCTTCCCCCAGCCACAGAACCAGCGCCAAAGGCTCATGCAGACGCTACAGCACCCTCAGGTGTTAACCCAGGTGCCACAGTCACCACAGGCGCTACAGCACCCGCAGCTGCTGTCTCATGCGCTGCAACAGCCGCAGGTGCTCTCCCATGCTCTGCAGCAACAACTGCAGGCGCTACAGCAGCACTCACCCTCGCTACAGCACCCTCAGTCGCTACAGCAGCACTCACCCGCGCTACAGCAACCTCAGTCGCTACAGCAATCACAGGCGCTTCAACACCCTCAGGTGTTTTTACAAGCACTGCAACAGCCACAGGTGCTCGCCCATACGCTACAGCAGCAGCCAGAGTTTCTATCACCACCGCTACAACCGCCACAGTCGTCAATGCGTGTGCTACAGCCGTCCACTGAAATGGCTGGACTCACGGGAAGCGGAGGTGGGGCACTCCATGATCCGCCCCACTCTATGCTGCTGGCACAGCCGCTACAGCTGCCGGCACAGCCGCTACAGCTGCCGGCACAGCCGCTACAGCTGTCGGCACAGCCGCTACAGCTGCCACAGCTGCTGCCACGGCCACTTGCACAGGTGATACTACAGCCGCCTCAGTCACAGGCACATGCGCTACAGACGTCACAGCTACAGCCGCCACAGGCAATACAACTGCCACAGCTGCCGCCACAGGCGCCATCACTCCCCATGGGGTTACCGATATCACCCGGTCTTCAGGACATGCTGATTGGCCAGGAGATTGCACGGCTGTTGGGGAACCCACAAGTGGAAAGCATGACGGGGCGTCAAAGAACGGCTGGTATGCTGCTGGGTGGTTCCCATACGGGCCAAATTCAAGGGCAGTCAGGCTTGCTGTTGCCTGGTGACCCGGGTGTGGTCAGGCCAATCAGGCTTGGAGATTCGAGGCAGCAGGAGGAGGATGCGCATCAGGGAGGGATGGGGATGCAGGAAGGTTTGGGCCGGCAGGAGAGTGTTTTGGAGCATGAAAGGCTGCTGCTGAGGGAACATGAGATGCTGCTGAGGGAGCATGAGAGGAAGGTGATGCAAGAGGTGCTGCTGCTTCAGGAAACTGCCAGTCACGAGACAGTTTTTCCCGCAGCTCAAAACGTGCACGGAGCAGCAAGCCTACAGGAGATTTTGAGGGAGCATGAGTTGAAGGTGGTTCAAGAGGTGATGCTGCTGCAGGAAACCCGGGTGCTGTCACAGCAGGCCTCTGCCTCGTTGTTTGAGGCGCCTCATAGGCAGGCCTCTGCCTTGTCCCCAGCCCTTCCCCAGGGTAATCCAGACAAGCCGTACAGGCTCAGGTTCGGCACTCCCGAACCTGCCAGTGGGGTGCGTAACGAGGTGGTGGGTGGGAGCAACTGCAGAGTAGGACGCAGCAATAGTGATGGCAGGCTCAGATATATGAGTAGCAGGGGCAGCAGCTGCAGCGGTGGCAGCAACAACAGCAGCAGCACCACTATTACCACCTCCTCCTCTAGGATGACTCACGGACTGTCTATACCACCTGTGCCTCCTGTATCGGCCACGCCTCCTTTGCCTCCAATGGTTGCCAATTCCGCTCTGGCTGATGCAGCTTTCATGCGATCCGGTCTGCATATGCCAAGCAGCAGTTGTGAGAACTCTCAGCTGGCTTCTGTGGGGATCATTTCACAGAGTGGTTTAGCTGGGGAATTATCAGTGTATCCATCTACCAACCAGTGCACTTTACCTAACGCTCAAGGTCTGCAGCCTCCTACCCTGTGGAGCCAAGCAGCAGCAGCAGCAGCGGCAGCAGCAGCCGCCGCGGGTTTACGCATGCCAGAACCTGCAGCAGAAGCAGCTGTCAAAACCGCAGCAGAAGTAGGTGCATTGATGGGAACAGGGCCGGTAAGACTGTCGACAACAGCAGCAGCAGCAGTGGCAGAAGTAGCAGAAGCAGCAGAAGCAGCAGCACCAGGGGAGTATGGGGATCGGATGCTGTTGTATATGGAAGAGTGGAGAGATACAGGCACTGGTGGTGCTCCATGGGAGCATGGTGGCGGCTCAGGGTGGTGCTAACTTGCTGTGTGAGACGTGACATCATCAGTGGCAGAAGCAGAAGCAGTTTCAGGGGAGTATGGGGATCGAATGCTGTTGTACATGGAAGGGTGGAGAGATACAGGCACTGGTGGTGTTCCATGGGAGAGTGGAGGCGGCTCTGAGTGGTGCTAACTTATTGTGCGAGGCGTGACAAGAATCTGACTTGAGTGTACACTGTACATATATCCCTGTTGACAAGTGAAAACTGCGTGGTGTAGGATCGCCTTAGTGCGCACTAGTGCCAAGTTTTGAAGCTCCCGAGCAGATGGAATTGTGTTCATTGGGCCGCCTTGGTGCGTTCCAGTGCGTTCCAAAGCGGTCCAGTGCGTTCCAGTGCGCGCCAGTGCATCCCACTGCGCGCCAGTGCATCCCACTGCGTGCCATTGCGTGCCAGCGCCGCACTGGTGCGCATGCCCTGCATTGGTGCGAGGCAGCTGTCGCACCAACTCGCAAAGCTCTCTGGTCCTGGCCCATCTGCACAGCATCGCACGATGAGCCTGGAAACATCACACTTTCGCCCACCCTCTCTGAGTCGCATCATTTCACCCGACGGAAGGCGAAGGTGCTTCTATAATATTACAGAGGTGCCATCTGGGTACATGGAATTTCATGCAAGATTTCATGTTGATCCGCATGGCTGGCTCTAACTGGCATACGTTAGTGCAATGAGATGTGCTATCTTTCCAATCCCTGCATCATAAGTACTACACTATTTTGTTGGTCATGCGTCGAGAGTTTCTGAAATGAGTCAAGCCCCCAAGGTGAACCACTAGATGAGCAAGAAAAAGCTGAGATATCTTAGGATGATATTCAAAACCTTTCTTCGTAAGGTTCCTCATTAAACGGACTGAATTGAGCCAATGTGTTACGAGTGCAATTGAGTGAACGAACGAGAATTGCACTATCGAAGCAAGAGTACAATGAGCGAAGGCATGAGCGAAGAATATATAGCGAAACTACAGTGGTAACGGTAATGGTCGCGCGACGAGCCTGGGACTGAGGTTGGGAACGTGTCGAAGCGTAGGCCCGGAGCGCGGGTTACCAGCCGAGCCGTGAGGTCGGGATGCGATGTGCGAAAATGGCGGGATGATGAATGATGCGATGGTCGCGAGTGGTAACGGTGCTGACTGAGGTGCTACAGTGATGTACGCGTTGAGCAGAGATGCGAAGTAAGGAAAAGGGAATTTCCTTACACTACCCCCCCCTCCTAAAAAGGTCCTCCTTACGAAAGCGCTTGGACGTCTTTGAAGTTTCGGCTGCGCAGATAGTCGGTGACGACAGGGTGGTTTTCAATTCTGTCCAGGGGAACCCAGTTGTCCTCGGTGGGTGTACGATCTTTCCAGCGAATCAGAAACTCAACTTTTCGGGCCCCTCGAGGGTCGCGAACTCTGTGGCTCAAGATTTTGTCGGGGGTGATGACTGGTTCGGTTAGTGGTCGTGACATGCTGGATGGTCGATGTCGTGGGAGTTGGCTGGTGGATGGTATGTAAGGGCGAAGCAGGCTGACGTGGAACGAGGGGCTGACGTACCAGTCAGCAGGAAGGAGGAGGTGCGCGGTGACAGGTGTGATCATGTGGCTGATTCGAAATGGCCCACAGTATCGAGGGCGGAGTTTGGGAGTGATGGGCAGGCGGAGGTTCTGAGTGTCGAGTAAAACGAGGTCGTCGGGCTGATAAGTGACGGGTCGGCGGTGGCGATCGGCGTTGCGTTAAGCGATGATATTTGATTTTTTAATTGATTATGCTGCCCTGGTCCGTGCTGCTTGCAAAATCTCGGCGAACTGTTGTGCGCGTGGAACGGGATTGTCGGGGTTTGGTGTCATGGGTACTGTTGGGTTCTGTCCGTAATTCAAGTAGAATGGCGACTGTTGGGTCGTGGCAGATGGCGCGTTGTTGTATGCGAACTCGATGAGAGGCAGCTGCTGCTCCCACGTGTTTGGATCGTCACACGTGGCTCGAATGAGTTGCTCCATAGTCTGGTTTGTCCGTTCTGTCTGTCCGTCGGTTTCGGGGTGATACGATGAACTGAATTGAAGTCGCGTGCCGAACTGCTGCCACAGGTTCCGCCAGAAATTACTGGTAAACTTCGTGTCCCTGTCGCTGATGATCGACGCTGGTATCCCGTGCAGTCGAACGACGGTGGCGATGAAGAGTCAGGCTGTTTCCTCGGCTGTGATTGATTTCCTGCATGCTGCGAAATGTGCCATTTTCGTTAGTCGATCGACGCCGACCAGGATCGCGTCATTCCCACTCGCCCCGGCCGGTAACCCCGTGACGAAGTCCATCGTCACCTGCTGCCAAGCACGCTCTGGAGGTGGGATTGGTTGTAATTGTCCCGCCGGCCGCTTCCTGGTTGACTTCATGAGTTGGCAAGTGGGACACGATGCCACGTGTCGTTGCACGTCGGTCAACATTTCCGGCCAGTAATAGTACCGCTGCAGCTGCTGCCGTGTTTTTTCTACTCCGAAATGTCCCGAGGTAACTCCGTCGTGTGCCTCCTGTAACAGTAGTTCCCGTAGTAGCGTGTACCCTGGTACCCAGATGCGGTCGGATCCAGCTTTTACGTAATAGGCTCCCTTGGCTGCTGCGAATTGCTGTGAATTTCCTCCTGTGAAGAATGGGTCTGTTTGATATCCGTGGGTAAATAGTCCTGTCAGTAACGGGCTGGTCTGGGCGAGTAGTATCACATGGATTTGGGCAGTGGGGCGGGTCAGTGCGTCGGCGATATTCGAGGCTCCTTTTTTATATGTGACCGTATAGTGGAAATTCGACTCGAGGAAGTCGAGCCACCGAATCTGTCGTGGGTTGAGGTGGGGCTGTGCGCGAAGGTACTGTAGGGATCGATGGTCTGTCCGTACTATCACGTCTGCGCCGGTCAAGTAGCAGCGCCACACTTTGAATGCATGCACGATCGCGAGCATTTCGCGGTCGTGTATCGGGTAATTTCGCTCAGGTGGATGTAGCTTGCGTGATTCGTAGGCGATGGGTTGGAGGCCGTTGCCGAAGTCCTGTAACAGTACGGCTCCGATGGCGATGTTACTCGCGTCTGTAACAACTTCGAAGGGGCGGTGTGGGTCAGCGATGCGTAGGACGGGTGGTGAACAGAGAACAGTTTTCAGGGCAGAGAAGGCAGCATGCTCTTTCTCCCCCCACGTAAAAGGGACCCCCTTACGCAGTAAATCAGTGAGCGGGGCTGTTAAGCGTGCCATGTCGGGGACGAACCGACAAACGTAATTAACAAACCCTAAAAAACTCTGTAGTTCCGTGATGTTCGTCGGGGGATGCCACGCTTTTACGGTATCCAGCTTCTTAGGGTCTATCTCAACCCCAGCCTCCGAAATGACGTGACCTAAAAACTCTAGCCTGTCCCGAAAAAACTCGCACTTGGAGCCCTTGGTGAGTAGCCGATGTGCCTCTAAAATTTTAAAAACTGCTTCGAGATCTACTAAGTGCTGCAGCTGGTCCCGACTGTAAACGAGGATGTCGTCGAGGTAAACGATGACGCATTTATCTAAAAGTGGCCTAAACTTCGCGGGCGTCCGCCCTACGCCGCGGCCCCGCCCTACGTCGCGGCCCCGCCCTGCGTCGCGGCCCCGCCCCTCGAAGCGGCCCTGCCCTACGTCGCGGCCCCGCCCCGACCGTCGCGGCCCCGCCCTACGTCGCGGCCCCGCCCCTCGTCGCGGCCCCGCCCCTCGAAGCGGCCCTGCCCTACGTCGCGGCCCCGCCCCTCGTCGCGGCCCCGCCCCTCGAAGCGGCCCTGCCCTACGTCGCGGCCCCGCCCCGACCGTCGCGGCCCCGCCCTACGTCGCGGCCCCGCCCTGTGTCGCGGCCCCGCCCCTCGAAGCGGCCCTGCCCCTCATCGCGGCCCCGCCCCTCGTCGCGCCCCCGCCCCTCGTCGCGGCCCCGCCCCTTGTCGCGGCCCCGCCCTCCAACCAGGCCCGTGGTGGGCCCCTTTCACCACACCGCCTCCCCCCCCCCCACCCCCCCCCTCCCCCTGCCATTTCCCGTCGTCCGTCGAGGTGACCTGAGGGGGCCGCGTGCTGTGGGGTGGCGGGTATGGGGGTGCTCGGTGTGCCTTCCTCCCTTTGCTCCTCCTCCTCCTTCGTCTCCCACTGCTGCAGCTGTCGCTGAGGGGGGTGGTTGTGTGGGAGACTCGGGTTTAGGGTTTAAGGGGGGGTGCGTGGGAGTGCAGCTAGCGGTGTAGCAGTGGGTGTGCATCAGGGGGGTGGGACTGTGTGCGGGAGGTTGAGTTGAGGTTGTCAGTTTGTCGTTCGCAGCACCTGTAGTCCGGGGCGCTGTCCCGGTAGCCCAGTCGTAGCCAGCTGTGCCAGCCGCCCGTGGGTCTGTTGCCCGTCCGCCGCTATTTGAGCCGCGGGGCCTGTTACTCCTGTAGTCCGGGCGCTGTCCGGTAGCCGCTGTGCCAGTGTGCCTCCTGTTGCCCGTGTGCCTGCAGCTTCAGCCGTCGCCTCCTATCTCCTCTCCCCTCACTCTCTCTCCTCCTCCTCACTTGCCCGTTGTGACTACCACTAGCTCTGCTCATAATTGTGAACTCTAAACTATCTCTTCTTGAACTTGTGCTCAGAATGTGTGGTGACATTGTGATCCACCCTGAGCTTGTACTACTTTGCCTGCTCTGCTGATTACACCCCACTTTGGCTATGGGGGTGTGTCAGAATATTATTCTTATGTTCTAGCCTGTAGTGGGGTGCTCTATAGCGAGTACAACCCTTCTAGGGTTTGCTATTTGTATCCTCATTCTTGCTAGTTCAATCCTCTTTCTTTCTTCTAATTTTGACATAAACGCCTCGTTCATGGTCGTCTGAAATGTTGCAGGCGCGTTGGTCAGCCCGAAAGGCATCACAGTGTACTCGAATGACCCGTACCTAGTCCTAAATGCTGTCTTGGCGCAGTCCGATGGTTCGACCCGAATTTGATGGTAACCTCCCCGTAAGTCTATTTTCGAAAATACTCGTGCGGTTTGCAGCTGGTCGATCAGTTCGTCGGCGCGGGGGATGGGGTATCGTGATTTTACTGTTACCCTGTTAAGCGCTCGGTAGTCGATGCACATGCGACTGCCTACAGCGCCGCGTCTGCTACACCGTCGTTCGATCCGCCCTCCTCTCACGACGGCGG